TGTTGGCAGTGGCGCCAGCCCTGCCCGCCACCCGCAGCACGACAGTCTGCTGCGAACGGGCTCGGCCCGACGGCTGGGGGCGCGAGGCGGGACGATCTGGGAACGCTCGGGGCGATTCCGTGTGGCCGCTCGCCTCGTCCACCAGTCGGGACACCGGGGGAGCCTCTGGGCGACACACGGGGCCGGGTGGCCAGAGCACGTGAGGCGCTTCCGGGCCCCCGCGTTCTTTCGGGCGATCGCAGGCATGGATCGAGGGGGCGTCCTCCTCCTCCTCCTCCTCCTCCTTTTCCTCCTCCTCCTTCTCCTCCTCCTCCTCCTCCCTCCTCCTCCTCCCTCCTCCCTCCTCCTCCTCCCTCCTCCTCCTCCGTGGACGAGCGACGGGCCCCGCTTCCATGGGAGATCGAGGCGTTCCGCCGCCGAGCGAGGCGGCTCTGGCCGCATTGTGGGGAGGGCACCTCCCCCGATGCATGGATCTGGCGACACCGCGCGCCGAATCCACGGACCGCTGATCCTTGTTTGCGCGCAACCCACGAGAGGGCGCTTCTCCGCCAGCAGAGAAGCTGGGCGGAAGCGAGAGCAGCCCCCCAGACAGATGTCATTCGGAGAAGAGAAAATGGCAGAAACATCAATTTTGGGCGCTCCGCGCGGATCTCTTGGATCCGCGCCGTGGACGCCGGGCGGCGCCTCCAGCGCCGCCCCTGGCGCGCTCCGCGCGCCGGGAAGGGGGGTTCAGCGCAGATCCATGAAATCCGCGCGGAGCGCCAAAAATTGATGTGTGTATTTTTGTTATTCTTCTTCTTCTTATTATTGTAGTTGTTCAGGGCTTCTCGAGTCGGCACCCACGGGCCTGCAGGTCTTTTTTGTTTGACGTGCTCGAGCAACCGCGACGTGTCGGTTGGGACATCACTTCGCGGGCCCTCCCAGAAGCTCGCGAGGGTGGCGACAGTTTCGGAGGACGCAGCCCCGAGCGACGTTGAGGTGGAGCGTGGCAGGATGCAAGCAGCAGGAAGAAGGCAGGAGGCAGGTAGGAGGTGCCAGGCAGGAGGAGGGAGAATGAGGAATGCACATGTGGCTAGGTGTCTTTCCACGACGGGTTTCCGCGCGTGTATCCGGCGCGAGGCCTCCGGCTGTTTCCCATGTGGACTCAGCCATGCGTGTTTCGGTTCCGCACGAGACACGTCATTCGCAAGTTTGGCAGGCGTAAGATTTGTCATGATATTGACGGTAGCGTTGGTCTGCCGATCCAGTCGATCATGTTCGTCAATCGTGTTGGTTGTTGTTTTCGCGTGCCGCCGTCTCTCGTTATGGCGCTTGTCTTCTGTGGTTCTCGTGCATGTCTCCAACCTCTCATTGAGCCCGCAGAGCGGGAGTCACGGCGGGCCCTCAGAGGGAACTTCGCAAGCCAATGTCGTTGCAACGCTTCTGGGGGCCGTATTTGCGCCCCCCGTGGGATTGGGCGTTTTTTTCGGCCAGCTAAGGGCCTTTGGGGGGCCCATGGACCACGAGGTGCGCGATAGGTGTCGATGATGTCTTAGGCGAACCGACCATTTCGGGTATCCGAGATTCGGCCAGCGATCTCGACACCTCCATTGGCCGAGGATGTCTCAGGCGACACGCTTATTTTTGGCATAAGACGTCTAGGCCAGAACCTCCAGCTAGCCGATTTCACGACGATGGTATCAGGCGACACGGGCTCTTTTTGTGTGAGAATGGTCGAAGGGCTCGGGCCAGCGGAATGCGTGATACCACTTAGCAGCCTCAGTGCCTCATGTCTCCCAGGCCATGCCTTAATCAAGCAATCATCATCAAGGTACAGTGGGGGCGCGCATCAAGAAACCATATACTTTTCGTCAGGGCATCCTTGGTTTCTTTGCTCCGTGCGCTGCGCGTTGACTTCCCGCGGCCGTTGAAGGAGCTGCTGCGTTCAGGGTGCTCCAGGTTTCCCCTCAGCTGCACCTCGCGCACGGGTTCTCAGGGTTGGGTTTCTTGCGAGGGTTTCTTGCGCCCGCGCCCGCACTGTAGCCATAATGCTAGATCATTCAGGCATGGATCATATATCAAGGCAGCCATCATGAATGATCATTGAGGTTCATTGATCAATGCATTACTCTGTTTCCCTCAATAGTTCTGGGAGTACCTTTAGTCCGGGGAGGGTACCTGTAGCCCAGGGGAGGGGTACCTGTAGTCTGGGGGGGGGCACCTGTAGTCTGGGGAGTGGCACCCGCAGTCCGGGGGAGGGGTGCCCGCAGCCCGGGGAGAGGGCACCTGCAGTCCGGGTGGGTACCTGCAGTCTGGGGGCCCAGCACTACTGAGGGACACAGAGAGTAAGGCTTATCGATCAAGGCATGAGCCAACAAACAAATCAGAAACAAAACAAACAAACAACACAAACGAAAAAACAACACAAAAAACACCAAAAAGGCATGAACTCATCATCAGGCATACGGCTTCGAGGCCGATGGCGTCTGATCTCGGCAGACCGCTCGTCGTCAGGCCAAGCGCGCGGGCCAGCGCGGCGAGGGGCCCGCAGGGCGGCCAGCCGCCGCATTGGACCGCTCCGCATTGGCGCCGTCGGCCCAGGCCGTGCCCTCGCGGGCACTCGTCTGCGTGCCCAGGTCGGGGGCCCCAAGAGTGCGCACCACCACCTCGGTCGGTTCCTCCTCCCTTCTCTGCCCTCCCCTTCCTCTTCGGCTTCCCTGGGAGGGGGGGGGGGTGAGGGAGGTGGTGGCTGTGGTGTATCTTTCTGGGCCCCCCACAGGTGGTGGCAGGTTCTTGGAACTTTTGCGCGAGCAGTCGTGTGCATCTCGGGGCAGAGGTCTCGAAATGGCCGCTGACGTCTCCTCTCTTGTGCCCCACGTCGACCCCGATCGAGGCCCTCTCTTTGGCCGTCTTGGGACCCGCTTCGGGGCTCATTGTATCATCGTTGGCGCTGGCCTGCGTGCTCGCGAGGGCATCTTGGCCGTTGGGGGCCCCTTGAGGGCTTCTGGGGGCCTCTTCGTGGCCTGCTGGCAGTCTCGGACGTAGCTTGTGGCGCAAGGGCCCGAGATCTCAGTTCGGGCTCCCCCTCTTGGGCCTCTTCTGCTCGCCTCTTGAGCCCTCTTTGGTCTCTGGGGGCCGTCTTTGGGCTCTCTCGGGACGTCTTGGGGCCGTCTTGGGAGCGCTCTGGGCGGCCTCCTTGGCTGTCCTGGGCGGCCAGAAGCCCGAGGAAGTGGTGACGCCGAGACCTCTCAGAGACCCGAGCAACATCAGCTCCTGCTGCCTCTTGGGGTCCTCGCGTGGAGCTCTCCAGGCCGGCTCGCCAGCCGGCGGGGGGCCGGCACCCCTTGGAGCCGCGCCTGGGCTCCCGCCGGCCGGCTCCGAGAGGCCTGTGGGGCGGGACCGCCCTCTCGGCGGGCCGCCCCTCCCTGCGCGCGGCCAGGAGCTGGCGGCGCGCAAAAGGTGGTAGGGGGAGGGGGGAAGGCTTCTTAGAAGCGCCCTGCTTCTTAGAAGGCCTCGGCCTTACGTCTATAGAGAAGGCCCGCGCCTTCTAAGAAGCAGGGGTGCTTCTAAGAAGCCTTCCCCCCTCCCCCAACCCCCCACTGCGCGCACGCCAAGGGGGGGCGCGCCCCCCTTCCCGTCATGGTTGGCCCGTGGCGGCGGCGGCGGCGGCGGCGCCCCGTGCGCGGGGGGCCGCCCGCGCCCTCGCGGCGCCAAGTCCCGGCGGGGGGGCGCCGGCGCCCGCGGCGCCGCCCGCGCGGCGGGGGGCCGCCGCGGCCGCCCTGGCCGCCGCGCGCCGCGGCGGCGGCGGCCGAGGAGCGGGGGCCTTTGCCGGCGGGCGCGCCGCGAGGCTGGCTGGCAGGCTGAAGTCGGGCCTGTCCCTCTACAGGGGGGGGGAGCACTCAAAAATAATCCAGAAATAGTCTGGGGAGCATCTTTGGAAAATGATGTTGGATCTTTTGGCGCATGTCTGGGGTATGTTTTTTCTCCTATGTTTCGTCCAGGATCCCCGTGCAGGAGATACAGGCCGCCTTCATGGCGGCTCGCCAGCCTGGAGCACAGGTCGGCCCAGGCTCAGAGAAAAACAAAACAGAAGCACAGTACACAATTTCATCGTCGATTTCCAGTGCGACTATTGGAAACTATGGGACGTGGGTGGGAAGACACACACGAGGAAAAGATTGGAAATATGGGTGAATCTTTTGATTTTGGGTATATATATCATATATATGTACACATACATACATATATATATATTATATATTATATATATATTGTATATGTATATATACGATACTATATATATAGTATATATATATCACTATATATATATATAGTTTGTGTGGTGTGTGTGTGTGTGTTCCTGGGGCCCCTTGAAAGGCGGCGCGCGCGCGGCCTGGCGCCGCCCGCCGGCCGTCGGGCCGGTGTGGCTCCCCTGTGGGAGCCGGCGCGGCGTGGCGGCGGCGGGCGGCGTGGCGTCTGGGTGTGGGCCCGGGGGGGGGGGGCCTGCGGCGCCGCCCGCGGGGGGCGCGCGCGGGGCGCCAGGGCGGCCTCGGGGGCGGCGGGGGCGAGGAGGGCGACCCGATCTGTGTGCCGACCATGTCGAGTCCGACGAGGCTCAGGAGGGGAAGAAACACACACAGAGACACGATTCATCCTCGATCCCCAGGAAAATATGGGAAAAGATGGGAAGTGGGGGGGGAAGGCAGAAGCCCAGGAAAGATGGGAAAATATTTGGAATCCTTTTATGTGTGTGTGTCTTTATGTATGTGTCCCAGGGGAAAAAACACACAGACACAATTCATCGGCGATTCCCCAGGAAAATATGGGAAACTATTGGCAGTGGGGGGGGAAGACAGGAACCCCGAAAAGATGGGGAAATATAGGGCATCCGTTTATTTGTGTGTAGTTATTTGTGTGTCCTGGCAGGCAGCAGGTCAGCAGGTCAGGTTATTTGTGTGTCCTGGCTTTTATTGTAGTTATTTGTATTGTCCGTTTATTTGTGTGTAGTTATTTGTAGTTATATGTCGAGTCTGACGAGGCAGCGGCAGCACATCTGCCTGCCCGAGCTGACCAAGGAGGAGTTCGAGGAGGTGGCCGCCGGGCGGCAGGTCCGCAAGCAGGAGAGGCACGGCAAGCAGGGGTGGGGGTTCTCCGTCGAGGACGTGGACGCGCCGCCGTCCCTGGTCATGGACGTCCTCGGCAACTTCGGGGACTATGCGAACGTGATCCCCGTAGTGCGGCAGGCGGACGTCGTCTCCAGACGCGTCTCCGCCGAAGGCGTCGAGCAGGTGCGCTGCAACTACAGGGTCTCCCGCTTCTGGCTGAGCGTGTCCGTCTTCCAGACGGCCCTCCCGGAGGACGGCCTCGTGCACTTCGAGCTGGACCCCTCCGTGGCGGGGTGCGTGCTGCAGGAGGCGGCCGGCTTCTGGCACGTGGCGCCCGCGCCCGGCGGCTCCGGCAGCCGCGTCTGGCTCTGCGTCGGCCTGCGCGCCCACGGCTGGCTGCCGACGCAGCTGGTGGACTACGCGGCGGAGAGGGCCCTCAGGCTTCGGATGTCCCAACCTGCTTGCAAGTCGGGCCTGTCCCTCTGCAGGAGGAAGGTTCAACAACAGGGGACGATGTTTCGATTGCTTGTTTGGTTTGTTTTGCATGTTTGTCTTTGTTTTTGATTTTCGTCCAACATCCCCCTGTAGGAGGACATGCCCGACCTAATCCTACTTCAGCCTTGACCGCCCAAACAGACATTCGAGCACCAAGAAGGTACCGAAACTGGGGGGCGGGGGGGGGGGGGCGTGTCGGGCCCGGGGAGGCGACGCTCGTTCCACGCCGTTTCGATACTCCTCTGGGTGCTCGAATTTTCTGTTTGAGATGTGGCCCTCGAGCACGCTGGGAGCAAACATTACAGGGTCCGGCTTGAATAAGGAACTTTTGCTTTTCAGAAGGGGCTCGGTCGTTCCTTTGGTTTGCGTGCGTTCCGCTACCTTCTCGGCGGCGAGAACCCCTCTGGCGCTCCTTCGAACTTCATAGACTTACTTGGAAAAAAGGGGGCTTCGTTCCTCATTAATCGTTCCTTATAGGTCAGGCCGAATACTGTAACCTTTTTCGTTGGGGAGGGGCTCGGTGTTCCTTGATTGTTTCGCAGCTTGCCTCAGGTGTTCCTTCTGTTTTCGATGGGAAATCGAAGTTTAACATGTGGGAAAAAAGGGGCCTCGTTGGTCGGAAGCCGGCGCACCCCCCCCAACGCAGGCGCGACCCACCGCTCGCGGCGGGCCACCCCCGAGGAGGAAGGGGTGCGCCGGCCGGGGCCTGTAGACTGCCATACCCGGGAGGCCACACGCGCCCCACAGGATTGTGGAAAAATGGGGTCAGCGCCCCGACTGTGACCCCAGGCGGGCCACGGCGTGGCTGAAGCCGCACATGCAGCGGGCGCTGCGGGACGGCCGGCGCGGCAGCAGCGCCACGCCCCCGCGCGCCCGCGGGCCCGAGGCCGCCGCCGCCGCGGCGCACCCGGCGCCGCTCCGCGCGCTCCGCGCGGCCTGAGAGAGGGGTCCGCCCCGCGCCGTGCTCCGGGCAGGCTCGCCCTTCCCAGATGGTCTGGTGCCGGAAATTTTCGGTAGCGATTTCGACGCACCCCGAATTTCGGTAGCAACCGGATCTTCGTTTGAGGGCGTTGAAATAGCGGATTTCGGAACGGTCTGATACCGGTATTGGGCGCTACATTTCGGTACTTCGGTAGCGACCGATCTCTGCGGAGCGCTACCGGAAATTTTCGGTAGCGGACCATCAGGGTTCGTGGGCCCTGGAAACGACAGGGCCGTTTTTTGTTCCCGGTGCCGTTTTGCGTTTTTTTTGTTGCCGGTTCCGCTCTGCTGTTTTTTGTTGCCGGTTCCGTTTTGCCGTATTGTTTGACCGGCTCCGGCTCCGGTTCCAATCTCCTGGAGCCGTTTTTGTTGCCGTTTCCGGTCGCCGTTTTTGTTGCCGTTTCCATTTTCACGGGACATTTTTTTGGAACCGGTGAAAAAACGGCCCTGCCGTTTCCGGGGCCCACAAAGGGCTCGCCGCACAGCGGCAGGCCGAGGAGTCGGCCGCCAGGCCCGACGACGCCGACGCCCGGCGTCCCCCGCGAGGCCCCGTGTTCAACGAGCTTGTGCTCTGCAGCAGCCCGTCGGTCGCCCTCCTCCTCCCTCCGCGGCTGGGCCGACCCAGCAAGGACTTGCGGTGGCCACTGCAGGGGGAGGAGGGGTGGGGGTGGGGTCAAGTTAGCCAGCTCGAACGAGCCAGAGGGCTCCGTCCACTCCCACCCGCCCTCCCACAGCATAAGAAGCAAGTGCGTCGCGTCCGACGCCTGTCGCTCACCTTAGATCGTGGGCGGCTAGACGTTCAGCGCGCGACATGGGCTGCGTCCTATTCCTGCCGCGAATTGAGCAACGTCGACGAGAAACAAGACCGCGCGCGATGTACGCCGCGCTCCGCCGCTCCGGCCTCTCAGGGGGGGAGGGGGGAAGGAGGAGGCTTATTGTTTCAAGGCCAGCGCCTGGCGCGTGCCTGGATGCCGGCCAATCTAGTCTGCTTCATGAGATTTGGTGACTTTTTATGAATCCGGCGGCTTCAACGAGCGATCAGCTTGAAGCCAGTTCCAAGGTATGATTTTTTGAAAGATGCGTCTGCCCACGGCGGGTCAGCTATAACCAAGCCTATCTCCTCCCCTCTGCTTCTGCAGTGCGTTCTGCTTCTCATCCTCTTCGCCATGATCCCCCGTAGACACGCTAACGGCGATGCAGGTAACGGCGATGTAGGGTTCGGCATTGCTGGAACGCGCGGCGCGTGCTTCCCTACAAATTCGCTGTGTCGTTTTCGTTCGATACATCCGCATGTAGGACATGTAGGAAAGCCTGCTTCTTGATTTCCTACAGTTCGGTTTCCAACATCACCGTTCAGCGACATTGCCGTTAGCGTGGCCTTGGTTATCCTCGATCCTGGGATGGGTCAAGCATGAGCCTGTGGCAGCAGCTTGAGTGCTTGAGCACATTTTCGATTCGGGCGACAGCGCAGGCGGCTCCAGGCTTCCAAACAACAAAAAAAGAGTCCTCGTGGAGCTCTCCAGGGCTCCTCCTCCTCCTCCTCCTCCTCCTCCTCCTCCTCCTCCTCCTCCTCCTACTCCCCGTCTTGGGCGTCCGTGGGACCGTCCTGGAATCGTCTTTGGCCATCTTGGCGCGCTCCTGACCGGGAGCCGTGGGGCTTGCTCCCCACTTGGCGCCTCCCGTGGGCGCTCCTGGGGCGCTTCTGGAATCACCGAGGGCCGTGTCCAGGAGTTCCAGCATTCCTGACCCCGACCTGGCCAGGACTTCGGGCCAGCACTTTTCGTCTGTGGGCGCCCAATGGCAGCCCCGCGTGTGCGAGGTATACATGTCCTGACCTTTTCCCCGAGATTGCAGCACGCCTCTGGCCCGTTGGGCCGGCGATCCTGTTCGAACGGAGCTCGTGCAGCTTGGCCTCGCCCGCGCACGCGTCACGCACGACACGAACCGAAATCGAACATATGTCTTGGTTTGGGGATTTTGCTTCACAGGGGGGGTAGAGGGAGGGGGGAAAACTTCTTAGAAGCACCTCGCTCCGTAGAAGGCGCGGACATTGCTTGTAGATGTAATGCCGGCGCCTTCTAAGAAGCAGGCTCCTTCCAAGAAGCCGTCCTCCCTCCCCCGCTTCCTCGTGCGCGCCGCCAATTCGCTCTGGTACCCCCCCCAAATCTCTAGCTTTCGGAGGTCCGCGCGGAGTTCTCGAACTGAGGCTGGACCCCCTTGGCGGCACCCCTGGCGCCCCCCCCCCCCCTGGCGCGCTTTCCGCGCCAGGGCAGCGGGGTCCAGCGCCGAACCGAGAACTCCGCGCGCACTTCCTAACGTTTCTGTTCGCGCGGATGTGTCTTTCCTGTTTCGGGGAAGCGTAAGACTCGAGTAAGCCGGAGCTCGGGTTTGCCGAAGTTTTTTGGCGAGCGCGTCCTGGATTCTGACGGTCCAGTTTTCGTGGGATGTTTGCGGCGGGAGCCCGCGTCCAATTTCAGATTGGGCCTCGCCATCGTTGTGATGGCCCCCGTGGGGCCAGCCTGAGTCCCCCGTGCCGGAGTCTCACGTCTCCCCGACTACAGTGAGCGGCTTGAATATGGAACACTTGCTTTTCAAAAGGGGCCCGGTCGTTCCTTAAGCTTGCATGCGCTATTTACAGCTCCTCATGCGTGATGAATTGTTTATCGTTCCTTATGGGCTATTCCTTGATAAAAAAACTTCGTTCCTTATTTATCGTTCCTTAGGTCAGGCCGATGACTGTATTCCGTAGCCATCTTGGGTCCGAGCATTTCCAAGCAGAGGCCCCAGAGATCGGTTTGTCGCGCGTCCGTCGCGCGGGCGGGGGGGGCCATGGCTGCGGCGGTGGGTTCGCCAGGCGCGCTTGCCGCACCAGGGGTGAGCACCCTCGTCATTGGAGGGCTAGACGTTGACGCCACCAAGATTGGGTTACGTCGGGCCTGTCCCTCTACGGGAGGAATATCCAAAAACAGTCCAGAAATCGTTTGGGGCCGATGTTTCGACCATTCTTCAGTATGTTTGAGTATGTCTTGGATACTCTTTACTTCTCGTCCACAAGCCGCCTGTAGGGGGACAGGCCCGACCTGAAGCTAGACGTAGACACCACCGAGACAGGGTGCCAGTTCCACCGAGGGCAGATGACCCCCGATCTCAGGTATATCATGGTGTCGGTTAGATGCGTACCACTCTTCGCGTGTCCCCACCAGCCGATCCAGCGACCGTTCACATCCTGTGTAGTCTATTGTGCGCCGGCCTTACTCCAGCGTTGTTGTCCTAATGTCATGCGTGCCGGTCCAGTACTGTCTGCACTGTTTGATACAAGTCCGGATCCCATCGGATTGCGTATGTATTAGTGCTCAATGTCGGGGTTATATCCAAGTGCAGTGGTTCAAGTCGTTTTATGTTGGGAATCATTAGTCTGGTCGTGAAGGTGAACTTAGACTCATCACGACGCTGTCAACTCTACATGGTCGTCTTCCCCGTGCCTCCCAGTGTGTCCGCAGCTTGCGGGAGGCAGACCTGCGGATCCCCCCTCCCCGGTCTGTGTCTCAGCAGCCGTCTGTGCAGTCTTGGGGGCCTTCCGGACCTGCGGGGCGAAACCTATTTTGGGCGGCGGTGACGCGGCGCACGAGGCGCCGATCATCCAGACAGCGACGGCGCAACGCGCGCAGTTTCAAAGACGACGTGCGTGCCGGTGGCGGCAGAGGAGGAGGAGGGCGCAGCAACACACAGCGAGGAGGAGGAGGAGGCAGCAGAAGGAAGATGAGGTTGAGGAGGAGGCAGAGGACGAGGACGAGGAGGAGACAGGAGTATGAGGAGGGGGAGGAGGGGGAGGACGAGGAGGAGGAGGAGGAGGAGGAGCGGCAGAGGAGAAAGTATAGACAGCTCACACACCTGGCTTCAGGCCCGCCCGCCTTTCGACACCTCGTGCTTGCTGAACCCCGTCGGTGTTGGTGGTTCAAACGTGTCCTCCTCCTGCAGGAGCGAAAGAAAGGACGTGCACGTCACACGAATCCACGTTGGTCTCGAGAGTTCGCATCTGGGGCCTTATTCATGCATTCGAAGAAGAAAACACGCCGTGAACTCAATATTTTGGCGCTCCGCGCGGATCTCTTGGATCTGCGTTGGGCCCCCCTGGCGGCGCCTCCGGCGCCGCCCTGGAGGGGGGTCCAGCGCAGATCCAAGAAATGTACCCGGAGCGCCAAAAGTTTATGCTTGAGTTGAAGTTTGCTTTGCTCGAACACATAACGCGCGTTATG